AAAATGAGAATTGGCTTCCAAAGAAGATGCCTTTTCTTCTGTATTGGTATGAAGTGAGTTTCCTAAAACTTTACAATCTGTTGTCACTGTATGAATTAACGTGCAGTTTTACAAGTTTGAATCTGTAGATACGCACTGTAATGTGTGAGGTAAATTAATATTGTATGAAAAGCAAGAAGCAATGTAATGTTCTGTAAAGATGAAGGTGAAAGTATTCTTACGATCTAGTACAAAAGGGTAATAACAACACTCTGGGGAAAAGAATGTACCATTTGACTAGCTACAATTTATTTTGGAAACACTGTGTAGCATCCTCTGTCACTGTGTTAAGTGCACTAATTCTTTTGCCCGTGGAAAGTAAAAGTTTGATTTTTTCCTTGTGCTCTCATCCTTGCACTTCGTAAATCTGCATGGTTGTACTTATATTTGCAGGTGTGTGTTGGCTTATTTCTTTGTTTTTTACTTCTTCTTTGCTTATTTGTTCTTTGTTTGCTTACTTACTTTGTTTGCTTACTTATACACAGCAGTGTGTCCTTGCATAATCTCTGTATTTACTGCAGAGAATATTTAGTTCTAGCCAAGAGTTGGGGTCTTGCCAAAGTAATGTTTGCTTCGGGTAATTTTGTCCACTTGACACTTTGGAAAGAGGTATTTCCCCTCCTCCGTCAATTAGAGGTCTTTGTCTCTGTATCAGCTTACTGACGTCCAAGGTCTGGCCATTCTCTGCTTTCTGCCTTTCTCAGTGATCTATCTACTCCAAAAGCACATTTTGCATCTTTAAGCATTAGATACTGTTTTCCCTTCGACTTATCAGAGACTGGCCCAGAAATTGTTCTTTCTGAAAGTAAAGAGATCCCCCCTGCCCAAGAACACCGTATACTTTATAAGGGAAAAATTGTTGCGAGTTTAGAATGAGCAAATGTTTTCACTTATGATAAAGGAGTAATGAATACATCTTTAACTGCTGAGATGGGCGTCTGACCGATGGAGGGCTGAGAAGATTATCCTTTCGTGATTTAATAGAATAGAAATAGAAAGGTGTTTCAGTGAAGATTTATGTACAGTTTCAGTATTGCTTGAGTATTTCTTAGCCTTACAAAGTACATGAGGAATCAGACTACAGGTTCCCCAGCAATGTCATGTGTCTCCCGTAAAGAGAATTCAGAAAGAACCTGGAAGGCCTTGGAGGCTGTAAGAAGCCTCTCTAGTCTCATATCAAGAACTAGATGATTTATCAGATATCTCCTCCTCTTGTGAGTGTTGATAAGAGAAGTTGTTTCAACAGCTCTTTGTATGTCATTTCATTATAAATTTCATCTCAAAGTGAGGAATTTCAGAGAGGGTCTAACTTTTAAAAAATATTGCTTGGAACTAGCAACAGAGAGATCTGATGTTGATCACTCACTGTGTTTGGATTTCAGCAACAGTATTATCCTTATTTATTCTTTAACTGAATTTGTTCCACGTATAATAAATCTGACAGTTTTACAGGCCTTGTTTGGAAGATGGCCAGTACTGATAAAAGATAAAATGCACATTATCATTTGCATGAAGTCTGGATGATTAATTAGCTTTAATGGTATGAGACTGTATTGTGAGCAACAGCTTTGTTACCCTCTAAGTTACACTGCTGAATTTCATGAAAGGAAAGTACAGTTTTTAATTGTGTTGAGGCTCAGCATTGCATTTTGCTCTCTGTCATGATGCTAGGGCCATCGCTGGCATTGTTCACCTCTCCCAGAATACCGTCACTTTGGAAAAAAAAGCATGCCTTAATTCTGGTGGCTGTAACTCTACCGTCTGGTTGATACAAGTTGGTATCAGAGGATGGAGGGGAGGACATACAGTCGCAGTGAGAGCAGGACTATTGTTTGTTGTAGATAACGAGAAGGGACAAATTGAAACTCCTTTTCCAGACTTGTCCTTTCACAGCCCCCCGCATCTGGTAGAAACTGGCTTGTTCTCGATGACTGTAATTACCATCAGATACGACCCAAGAGTTTACTTGTGTCTTTTTCAGTTTTTGTGATTTACATTGAATAGTTTCAGAACTAAGAGTGAAACACTCAAGAATTTTGATTCCATGTGAATGTTGAAAATGTGCAAAAAGTTTAAGAAGCTATTAATTTAGGCCTGCTTACAAATTAAGATTCCTAAACCTTCACTGCTGCCCCTCGCTTTTTTTTTTTTTTTTTGGTCTCTTCAGACAAAAAAGTCTTCAGACCCTTTATTGGGAATTGACTTTTTGATCTGTGAAAATGCATTAAAAGTCAGCTATCCATATAGTTTATTTTAGATGATTTTTCTGTACCTAAGTGCACACTGGTAGTCGTAAATCTGTTTATCGAATCTATCATTCTGTCCATCTCTGGTTTTTATCCATGTCACTTGAGTGGGGGAAAAATTAACTCCCCTAGCCCCAGCACACGTTCTGGTGTGAAATCCTAACACTTGCCGCCCGCGAAGCCTCACCTAGGGCATTAAGAATATCAGTCAGAGTCCTCCAGATTAGAGCAGCACACTTCTCTTCGAGCGCCTCGTTAATGAGGCTCACCGTTATTTATTTGGTTCATCCACTCAAGACCAGGACATAAATCCACACGTCTGCTCCAGGATTTCATCTACTTCTGGCCTGTGGTAGGCAAGAAAGAGGCGCCCGGGAGCAGGCTGCTGCCCGCCAGCGCCTTCACCCTCCTCCTCCTTTCCCAGCTTCAACCCTAAATTTGCTTTCCCCCTGCCCCCCGTTTTTTTTCCCCTTTTCTTCTGAGAGCCTTGTCTTTTATTTTCCCCTGGTTGATGAGCAGTGGTTCAGAGGGAGCATCCCCAACCTGACGGCCATGGCCGGCAGAACGCACCCTCCTGTCCCTAATTATATAGACCCCCCCCCCTTCTTTTTCCTTTGGTGGTTTACAGGTTGGTTGGCCGTGTGTACTGGGCATACAGAGCCCCGGAAGATTGCTCAGAATAGAGGACATATGGGGTAGACACAGAAAAATAAGAAGCAAGTATGTTCACAAAGTTAAAATTTATTTTGAGGAAATGTGTTTAAGGTACCATCACATAGTAATAAAAGGGAAAACCTGGCCTGTAAATAACTTAACTTCAGGAGGAAATTAATGATGTTTCAGAGCTACAAATAGAGTGGTTTGTGAGCCAGTCTTGGGTAGACACAAGTAAAATATAAACCGTCTGCTCAAATGGTTTTCTATACTGAGACCAGAAATTGTTAGCTCCTTGCTTTACTCCTTCTAGCCCCTTAGTTGAAGTGTATCAATTCTGCCCCTTCCTGCCACGTTGCAATTATTAGTTTATGTATTTGGGGAAATTTTAAATCGATGATGGGTGAAGTTAATGCTAAATCCAAACGGAGTATAGTCTGTAAGGAAGATAGTCATTTATATCAAGTGTCTTTTGAAAAGCTTTCTGATTTTTCTGCTGTTTTTAATATATATATGGCAAGACCCTGGGGTGGGGGGGGGTGGCAATTTTCACCAAGAAACTTAACACGTATAGCTGCTATGTAGGGCATTTTGTTATATATTGGGTGTTTGGGTGTTATATTTTGATGATAAAATTTACTGGAGGGGCACCTGGGTGGCTCGGTCAGTTAAGCATTTGACTCTTGACTCAGGTCATGGTCTCACACTTCCTTAGATTGAGCTCCGCATCGGGCACTGTGCTGACAGTGCAGAACCTGCTTGGGATCCTCTCTCTCCCTCGCTCTGTGCACCCCTACTCTCTCTCTCTCTCTCTCTCTCTCAAAATAAATAAATGCAGTTTTTAATAAATTCACTTGAATATGATTTGTAGGACACTGCTTCCAGGGTGAAAATCCTCGAGTTCATTTATTGAAAGCTTACTTAAGATTGGATGGGTAATGTTTTTCCTTACATGCTCATGAGTGAAACCATGAGAATTGTGGTTCCAAGAGAAATGCTAAAAAGGAATGTTCATAGGTCTCATCTGAGAAGGGTTTTGGTGTTGAGGTTTTTGCTTTCCCCACTGTCCTTTTATACCTCCTGCAATGCCCTGGCTCCCCTCCCCCTCCCCACTCTTAGAGCTCACAGGTCTTTCTCAAGGCCACCCCTGTGCCTCCCTAACCGAGCCAGCAAAGTGTTCTTCTTTCTTGGATCTTACAGCCCGCAGGAGCCAGTACCAGTCATATGATACCTTTACCCATTTTACTTATTGGAGTTTTTCCTACATACAGGTGTATCATCCCTCTTAACCTTATTGTCTGGAGAGCAGCATGCCTCCTTGTGCTTCCTGAGCACTGAGCCTGACTCATTCTGGCAGGTGGGCGGGCAGTCTTTGAATAAATGAGGGACATTGAGATGAGGGGAAAGAGCCCAGCACAGAACTGCATGCAGTCCATATCTGGCTGCTTCTCCCTCCTGACTGTGCCTGTGTGATTACTAGAAGAATGACATATTTGATGAGGAGACCCTTGCCGTAACCTCTTAGTTAGGAGTAGGAGTATGTGAGCCTGCGTACAAATAATCCCAGTTCCACCATTGGCTGATCTGCTCAACTGTCCTGGGCTGGAGATGCTCATAATTATCCCCATTTTACAGACAAGGTCATTAAGGCATGAGAGGTAACTTCTTAAGGTCCCACAGCTAACCAAATGGTGGACCTTGGACATGGATGCTGGCCATTAGCTTCTCTGCTCGATTGACTCTCATAGTCTGTTTGGATGATTAAATCATGGCTGGGAATTGCTTGGTGCCTTGTAAATTCTAAATGAGTAACTAAATACAGATTAAATTTGTTATCAGCCCCAAATTGTGGCCACAGTACAGGACCTTGGGACTTGGCTACATGGCTCCAACTAGCAGGAAGCTCAGGCATTAGCTTTCAGAATTGTCCCCTCCTGTGTGACGTCTTGAATATAATGTACAATTGGCGGGACCCCCCCCCCCCTCCACTGATACAGTGTTTCTTCGTCCTGCTTACACGTGACTCTGAAAAAATTTCATTCCTCTGCCCTTGTGGATCAGAGTTGTGACCTGAAGAAATGACTGGAGGGAGACTGAGCATCTCAGAGTACACGGAGGGAAGGCTGGCGGTTTGATGGGTATGTGACAACGATCAGTCTTGGGTGGTGTTTTCTTAGCCCACCCTCCTCAGTGTCCTTGCTCTCCACGAACCTGTTATTCTCTGGCATTTTTCTTAACTCCTTTACCTTCTGCTGTCTTGCCCTTCCGTCTGATTTTTTCCAATCTAGAAAGGAAGAAAAGCCACTCTAGAAAGCTAAGGAGGGTGAAGGTGACTTTAGAAGCCTGGGAGACCGAAGGAAGGGGGAACTAGTATAGAATTGGAACTCTAAGAATGACTTAAGTACTGACTTAATCTTTTCAGGCCCCATTTTTTTTTTTCTAAGCAGTTATTAAGCACCTTGTGCTCAAGCACCTCTACTGTTTCCCCAGTATCTGTTATTAGTCCCTTTGTTTAGTTCTTTTAGAACTTAAACCTCTATCATTCCATACTTCACATATTTAAATATTATTTTGATTTTGCTAATGATGACCAACACGAATACTCTGATTCTCTTACTATATATCCGGTTCTTTTCTTGTTGGAAGGAATCCAGTAAGCAGGAGCCAGTTATTGTCCTCCTTCGTTAGGGTCAGTAATATTCCCTGGGGTTTTTTCTTTTCTTTTTTTAAATGCATTTCGAGACCTTTGGTGATAGCAGCTAGAATTAGCCGAGGGAGGGAACATAGGAGCGGCAGGATGTGTGAGAGGAAACTGCGGAGGGGAGGTGTGCTTAGGAAGCTGCTGGGGAGAGAGGGCTCTACGAGCAAGAAGGGAGGAGGGAGGCAGCTGCTGCCGGGGTGGGGGATGGGGGTGGAGGGTTCGGGAGACTCCAGGGGGAGGTGCGAACATCCTCTGTTTGGGGCGCATTGCTCACGGAGGCCTTGTGCAAGGCTAGGACAGGCGGGTCAGATCTAGCTGGTCAGATGGGAAACATTCGGCTTAGTGGTGGGGCACTGCCTCTTGCCAGGGCTGTCTGTCATGGGTGCGCTATTGCAGCACAGACTTCACACTGGCCAACCCAAAACAGAGACTGGGAGGAGCCCCTTACAACACCTGTAGTTTCCCCATGGGTGCAAGATCACTCCTGAAACTGAAGGCTGACGGCAGAAACCCAGGGCTAGCAGCAGATTGTAGTTGATGGTGTCGCTGAAATACGATGTCTGTTTGAAGAGTATGGGCCCACTGAGGTAGGCTTGTTTGTTTTTTTAAACATTAACCTTTACAGATGCTTAACTTTTAAGCAAGGTAAACAAAAACTGAGCCCTTTCATTAGAAGTTACACATGCATATTAATCAGAACAATGTGTTAATGACTGTTGTCAAATTTCTGATTGAAGTCAAAGTCTTTCATGGTTGGTAAATTGATCAGGCACTTTATCATCAGCTCTATTCTCTTTTTCTACCCCCCTCCCCCTTTCTTGTTTTAGTTGCTGATATGTGTTCAAGATGAGTGGGATGGGAGAAAATACCTCTGACCCATCCAGGGCAGAGACAAGAAAGCGCAAGGAATGTCCTGACCAGCTTGGACCCAGGTTAGATTCTTGCTGAAAAACAGAATCAGTATTGGCCATGAAAGCCACATGCCTGCTTTTTTGCTATCTTAGCATTGATTTTACACCCAATCGAAATGTTGTGTTTGGTTTTTTTCTCCTTAACAGTTAAACCTTTAAATACGTATTATTTAGCTTACGTTTGGTTATGCTAATGAGTTGCAGATTTTATTATTCTTTACAAGAAGGAAGCTACATACTTCTGATGTCCCCTGTGTGCTTCACTATTCTTCCATATTTTCGTTTCTGTTAGATCACAGAATGTCATAAAGACAAGAGATCCCATAGTAGAATTTGCTGTTAATTATACGCTGGGTTTTATTTTTATTTATTAATTGTTTTGTGAGTCAGTGACAAAGATTGTGGCCCTTCAGTGAGTAAAACAAATGATTTAAAGCAAGTTCCATGTCACATCTTATGGATGGAAGTGTGCGTTGTTATAATCCCTATGCAGGGTAATTTAGCATTATCTACTAAAATTATAAATGCATGCTTCTGGGAATTTTCCAACAGTATACTTTCACACATGCAAAATGACAAACACTGAGGTTACTTGCTATTAAACTTGCTGTTTAATAATTGCAAAAGATTAGGAGAAACCTAAATGTCTATAGGGAACCATTTAAACAGCCATGATACATCCATAACCTAGACTACAATACAGCTGTGAAAAAGAACAAAGACACTTAATGGATTGATATAAAAAGAATCTCTTAAGAATAGTTACAGAGAAAAACAAGGTTTAGAGCACACTTATGGAGTACTACCACTGGTATAAAACCATTTGTTTTAGGATAATTAAGAAACACTTAAGAGTTGTTAACCCATTTTGGGGGATGAGAACTAGGCAAATGGGAAACAAAGGTAGAAGAGAGACTTCATTCTTCCGAGGGCTTAAATCATATAAACGATTTTAAAAGTTAAACACAAACAGCAACTTCTGTTAAGTGGCCGGTAAAAAGGAGCAGATGGAGAACAAAAGGGAAGAGGACCAGAAAGTCATTAAGACAGGCAGAGAAGGAGACAGAGCAGAAAGCCAATATTTCATGTTGCCTTTTCCCCTGTTAGTTGCCAAGCAAAACAAGTCTATTAAATCGTCACTGTCCACATCCCAGCCCCCAACCCTTAGCTCCAGTGTGTTACCTCTAGATTACCTACTACCTCCTGGCCGTCCTCAGCTTGCTGTCTGTCAAATGTCTTTAATGCCAGGAATCCACTCAAGAAGACAGATTGATAAAATGGAGACTGTTTCAGTGGAGGGGCTAATGTTTTACCTAGTGCTGTGCTGGTGCCTGGAAGTATATTACAGACTACACAATTTTATCACTGGGTATTATATACAAATAATTATATACTAAAACGACAGAAAGTTACTTGGTCAAACAACTTACTTTCCTTATTTATTGTACCGTTTGAATGTCATTTAGTGGGCCCTCGACTAAAAAAAAAAAAAAAAAAAAAAAAAAAAAAAAAAAGGTTGTACGCTGTTAATGTTAGTGTCAGAGAGAACTTGCTATCTCAAATTCAAATGAGAAGATCTTGCCAATTTTTATTTTTCCCTCCTTTCCATTAACTTTTTAAAACTTTAGTTGACCTTAGACTGTTTATGTTTTGCACGTCATTCAGACTGGAGAGTTAACAAATATCCCGGGTCAGTTTCGCTTTTGTTTCTAGCTGCACTGTGGTTTTTTGCATTATCTAAAAAGACTGGTTTGATTACCAACATCCTAAAGAAGTCTGTGAAACGATGAAGGTTTATTTGTATCTTTTCATGCTTTACCAAAAATCACTGCCATTTCTTTATTCCTATTATAACTGAGTTAAGTTCCCTTTCTTCTTTTACTACTCTTACGTAAATTTTTAAAATTGTATAAAATAATCTCCCTTGCTTGTCTAAAACATCCCTCTATGTATTCAACAGTAAATTCGATGCCCACTTCTGCCAAGTGTTGTATTAAGCTTGGTGATGAGCAGGTCGTCCTGATCCTTGTCATGGTGAGGCTTACTGTCCACCGGGGGACGTTATGCACATTGAACAAATGATCACACAAGTAAATCTATAATCACGTGCTGGGGTGAGTTTGATTTCAGTAAAACATGCAACATGTAGGACACATTCAGGTTTCTTCCCCCAAAGTACTTCCATGTTTTATGTAAGTGACTTTTGTTTGTTATTTTTTATTAGAACTTGTGTAACATGCTTCTTTTTTTATAATAGCTTTTTTTTCAAATGCATAATAAAAACCATGTTTCTTCTTTGTAGCCCCAAGAGGAGCACTGAGAAGCGTAATCGTGAACAGGAAAATAAATACATTGAAGAACTCGCAGAGCTGATTTTTGCAAATTTTAATGATATAGACAACTTCAACTTCAAACCTGACAAATGTGCAATCTTAAAAGAAACTGTGAAGCAAATTCGTCAGATCAAAGAACAAGGTAAGAGGCCCGAATTAATCTTTTGGAGAGTTTAGCTGGTTTCTGTTTTTTCATGTATGAGAAGTCGCTTCAGAGTCCCTTTAATCCGTTTCTTCTGCTTAAATTATTGATGAGGAAATGATGTCACAGTGCAAGATGAATGCAAGTATCACTTGTGGTTTATAAATAGGCTTTATATAAAATTCAGCAATTCCCTAAAGACAGAGGAGACTGAGGTGAGGCAGGGTGATGTAACTTTTCATCTAGTAAAACTCAATTAGGTGCCCACTGATTCTCCTCCCCTACGTTGGAATTTTCATTGCTTGCACAGCAAGTGACTGTCATAATTTGCAAGTGAGAAGCCAACTAAAGATGGAAACCAGAAGTAAGGAAAGGAAGCCACCTCCTGTTTCAGCTAGTCAGCATATTTGATTAAGTCAGAGCCTCAACTGGCCACGCCGCTAGATTAGAATTTCATATCCTGAATGACAAGAGATTTGAAAGGCTCAAGCCTCTAGTCAGAATTCTTTTGTGAAGTTGAAACACGGAACATGACAGCTTTCTTCCTGGGGTTTTCTTTTTTACAGAGATCATTTTCTGCCTCTCTTCTTTGATATTTTTGCCTACAGAAAAAAATTAAGAAAATAATATTTTTAAAAAAACACATTGGACTTTGTGGTGCCAAAAAAAAAAAAATCAGTATTAGGCAAGTATGAACAGTGTCTTGGGGGCTCAGGGCCAATGCTCTTAAAGTATTCATATACTGCTTTCCTTCAGGGCTGGGGAGATTATGATCTCTTGTAATCTGTTTTTGACTGCATCCTCTCAGAGTTCATTGTTTTTATTCTCCCTTTTTATGTGATATTCAAAAGAGGCAGATTTTAGAGAAATAATGTCTTTGTCTGTGTAGGTGTAGGACCTGAAACTTGCCGTCAGTCATAAACTCCTAGCTTATCTATTTGCATATTATCATCATAGGATTTTTCATTTTTATACATTTACTATTAAGCTTCAGTTTCATATTTAAAAAATTTTACACATGTAGTTCTTTGTTTTAAGAACTTAAAAATATACACGTAGCATACACAACACAGTTTCTCAGACCAACCCAGTCTGAAAATCAGTCTTTATTTCCCAGTTTCTCCATCAAAATGATATCATTAAGCATTCAACGAGTTTCTGCTCTCAATGCCTGCCTCGGTAGCCCTTCACCTCTTTTGTCTTCCTTCTTTTCCCTTTGAGATCCACTAGTCATCAAAAACTCAGCTTAGTCTCCAAAAAAAAGAAAACGTCAGGGGCACCTAGGTGGCTCAGTCGGTTGGGCGTCCTACTTCGGCTCTGGTCACAATCTCGTGGTTTGTGAGTTCAAGCCCCTCATTGGGCTCTGTGCTGACAGCTCAGAGCCTGGAGCCTGTTTCAGATTCTGTGTCTCCCCCTCTCTCTGCACCTCCTCTGCTTGCACTCGCTCACTCGCTCTCTCAAATAAAAATAAACGTTAAAAAAAATCCCTCAGTTTAACCTCAATTTTGTATCTTCTTCATTTTTTGGTATCAGCAAATGGATAGAATAACATTCCTAGAGCTCTTAGGAGAAATAATTGGTTAAAGTTTTATAGTGCTTCGAAGTGACTGCGTTTCTAGTTGCTGATACTGTGGTGGAGAAATCAAGCTACTTGTTTCCGATTTCTGAAGCTGAACGAGACAATTTTGTGAACACTGCATGGTAGGCGGTACTTTCACACTTTAAAACAGTTATGTGTTTTTTTTGTTGTTGTTTTTTTTTTTTTTTACTATCAAGGTCTTGCACAAGGTTTTAAAGTTTTGCAAAACCTTGGTAATTCCCCCTTCAAACCATAAAACACGTTAAGATGTGTCACGCTGGGACTCTGCCATAGTTTTCCCGTAGGTTTAATCCTAAGGCTGCATACCACAACCACCCAAGAAGCAGCAACAGTAAACACCCTGTCACATCTTATTCTTATAATAATGTTCCTATTAATTTGAAAATTAATGTGTTTTGAAAAGGGAGGCAGGAGTTAAAAACCAAATGAAAAGCCCAGATACACTTTGATGGTCTCAATCTACTATTTTAAAAATATTGCTTGCTTACTCAATTATTTTGTAAAAGGCAGCGAGACTTTAGAATCAAATCAGACAGAAGCCAGGTCTGAATCCTGGATCTGCCTCTTACAGGCTCTTTGAACCTGGGCAAATTATTTTCTGTGCCTGAAACTCCATCTCCTCATATGGAGTTTAGCAGTCACGATCTTGAGGTTGCGTGGCTGTTGAAGAAATCACGAGCTATGTAAATGCACTCCGCAAATACCCGGCCCGGTGAACGTGTGGTAGGTGGTCAGTAAATATCTTTCTCACAGTAAGCAGAATGTCACCTTCTTTTCTTCATACATGTTGAGGTCTTCAGACAGTGAGCCTCTCCTTCAGGCGGAAAATGAGAAATAAAAAAGGTGGGGAAGCGGATTACAAACATCCTTTCCTGCGGGGCCATTTGAAGAAAGTAAAGTTTTCTGCTGCCAGAGAGCCGTGCGTAGCCCATGCAGAGCACTCCGCTGCCAGCTGTGTCGGGGCCAGCTGGATGTGTCTCGGCAGCTGAGAGCCACGAGGCCCAAGAGCAGCACACGAGTCAGACCTCAGCCCTTCTCCCTCACTCCGCGTGCCCACCCGCCTGGCCGATGCCCCGTCGGCCAGTATAAATCAAGTCCAACCACCATTACCTTCATCGTGTTTCCGAACTTAATTTAAATTTCAGTCACAGGTACCAGGCCGAATAAAATCATAATTGTGCCAGAGAAGTTAAACTAGGTTGCGTGAGGCGTCACAGTAAAGATCGCACGTCGGAAAAGACAGGCTTATATCTAAGGTACCCTCCATGGTCAAAAGCTCAGGCAGACGAGCCGGGCATGTTCGGCTTTTTCACTCAGGGCTGCTCTGTCATCAGCCGTCCCTCGAGTTTCCATTTGCTTTATAAAAAGAGGAGAGAGAAGAAAGGATTATTTAAAATGGCCTAAAGGATGAGAATTGGGAGGGAGAATTACCAGCTATTTAAATACGTGAGCGTCCGCTCATTTATAGCACTTGGTGAGGCCCGTGTTTGGGAGACGCTGGCCCTCCCGCAGTGTTCACACTGCAGTGGACCTCGTAGAAGCAGAGCACATGTACACAGACGTCGTGTCCTATGTGAGACAATGCTGATAAAGTTGAAAACTTCTGGCTTCTGTAAGTTAGAAACGGTAGTTCATAAATAGTAAATAACCTTTTTTCGTAATGAGGCTAATGCCGCTTCTATCCCACGGAAGAAGAATAAGTAGTATGAAGAATACAAATGATTTAATTTTGAATTACTGTGTCCAACTCCACACTCCTCAGCTGGAAGCTTAACTCAGCTTGTCTATGGAAAATACACAGGAATTCCTATGCGCCTAAGAAATAAAATTGAAGTGTAAAGTAACAAACATTTAGGGGAGTACTAAAAATTAACACGTCTTTGCTGCGCTGTTTAAAGTAACATCTCCTGTGTTACCCCAATTTAGATACACCTTTCATTGTTTTTTAATCTTAAATAATTTTAAATGGATTTTATTATTTGGAAAACAGTTGTCACTTCATTTAAAGCCGCTTGAGAGCAGCATATTTGAATACAGGGTGTATTGATCAGTTAATGGAGAATTGGTCTCAACCTTTCATTTTTGGTTTTCGAAAAGTAGCTTTAATGAGTGAATAACAGTAGGAATGAAAAGGTGCATCTCAAAAATCTGTGTCAGTGCAAGCTAGATTTGGGGGACATTTTCCTGTTGAACCAGGCTACCCGTATTTTAAGAGAAGGTGAGGAGCAGGGATATGCCAGAGTCAACTCCTGTCAACCGACGAAAACCAGTTGTGCGGTTTCGAGAATTTTATATGCCAGTTGATGCGTACTTCACTATTAAAAATTACACGGACTTGTGATTAAACTATATGTAAAAAGGCAAGGGAGACTAAAATTTCTCATTTGCTAATTATTCCACTGCATTTTGCCATTGTCTTACGTGCCAGAGGCCCTTCGTGTCGTGTGTCTACCTACAGAATAGACACACCGCGCAGCACTGGTTACTCTGCGTCTCCTCAGTCCACGTTCAGTCGTGTTACATTGAAATCAGCCATGAAGAGAATATTGATACCCTGGAAAGCTGGTAAACTCTCCAAATCAAGGCTCGATTGGTTTTGTTGGCTGTCACTTTAGACTTAAGAAAAAGTAATGAAGATTTTTTTGGGGGGGAAAAAATGTAATGGAGAAAATGTTAATAATTACCACCTGATGGGGCGCCTGGGTGGCTCAGTCGGTAAGCATCCGACTTCATTCAGCTCAGGTCACCATCTCGCAGTCCGTGAGTTCAAGCCCTGCGTCGGGCTCTGTGCTGACAGCTCAGAGCCTGGAGCCCGCTTCGGATTCTGTGTCTCCATCTCTCTCTGCTCCTCCCCACCTCACACTCTGTCTCTTTCTCAAAAATACATAAACATTAAAAAATAAATTAAGGGGTGCCTGGGTGGCGCAGTCGGTTAAGCGTCCGACTTCAGCCAGGTCACGATCTCGCGGTCCGGGAGTTCGAGCCCCACGTCGGGCTCTGGGCTGATGGCTCAGAGCCTGGAGCCTGTTTCTGATTCTGTGTCTCCCTCTTTCTCTGCCCCTCCCCCGTTCATGCTCTGTCTCTCTCTGTCCCAAAAAAATAAGTAAACGTTAAAAAAAAAAAAAAAATTAAAAAATAAATTAAAATAAACAAATAATTACCCCCTGACATTTTAACATCAAGTAGCCATTTCGTGCATGCACAAAAAATAATATCCAGTTTGGCAAAAAGTCACTGGCAGATTGACAAACAATTGTATTTCTGCATATAGCGTCTTCACACATTTTCATTATTCCATCTTTGTCTTGCTCATTAACTTAAGTGAAAATTTCAACCAGTATTCATATTGGAACCATTTTTCATCAGTTGCAATCATAGGTTGGTTGCAACACAGGAATTT